TGGCGTCCTGCGGCTTGATCTCGGGCAGGAGGTGCTTGACAGCAGCCTGCAGCAGGGGGACACGGCTCAGCAGGGTAGCAGCAGAGCGGCCAGAGGGGGGCACTGGGAGAAGTGACTGCTCACCCCCCAGTTCTGGCTACACAGGGGAGGCACAGGGGATGGTAGCCCATTCCCACCAGTGCCAGGCTGGGGTGTGGGGTTACCTTGGGCAGTGCCCCGTTCTCCTCCACCAGCAGTGGTGCACCAGTGGTGCCAGTGCAGGGCTCCCCTTCATCGCGGCACAGGCAGCAGAAGAGGGACTGGAGAATGCTGCGACTTCGAGGCTTCTTGGCAGGGGTCTGGGTACCTGCGGGAGGGCAGAAGGGGGGTGAAGGGTACCCCAGGGATACTCTCAGCACAGCTCTGAGACAGGTTCGGGTGTTGCCCTAGAGCCCCCGTGCCCTAATCAGACCCGGACACCCATCCGGTCGCCTTTCCTGTCCTGCCAACGGTGCCAGGGCAGTATCGCTGACACAAGTGCTTGGTGACCCCCCACAGCCTCTCACCCGGCACATCCCACTCCACGAGTGACCCCCGTGGGCCCCCTTTGCGTGGCCAGACACCCTACAGCAAGGGCACAGGGCTGAGCCCGGGGGCAGCCGTGGGTCCGGGGCCGATCCCCGATCGGGGACCCGCACAGCCCCACTCGGGGGGGCTGGTGACCATGGGGGCGGGGCCACCCTAGGGAGGCGGGGCTTACGCCCTTTTCTTTCCCCGCCTCCAGACAACTCCCTGGTCTCATTGGCCGACTCGAGTGCACTGGAGGCGAGAGGCCAATCAAGGCGAAGCGCCCGCCTCTGGGCGCCGTTCCCGCGGTCCCCATTGGCGGAGCGAGGGGAAACTGAGGCAGAGGGGCTGCCCCTGCCCACCCCGTGCCCCAGGGGCAGCGCGACGGCTCCAGCCCCAGCCCCACCGCTCCCGGGGCCGGCTCCTGCCGCAGCTCGGGCCGGGGCTGCACCCCGCCCTGGCAATGCCCCTCTTCGGGCGGGACAGGGCCCCGAGCCCTGTAGCGAGGAGCTCCTGCCCCACGGGCTCCCACGTTTGCTCCTCTCAGCCCTGGCAGCTTCCCAGGCCAGGGGAACGAACAGCGGCCCCCGACAAAGCCCCTTCGCGAGGTGAAGGGGACGCGGGGAACGGGAAGCAGGCATGCAGCGGGGCGCTCGGCGCCCTTCCTGCCTCAGTTTCCCCGCCGGCGCTGCGCGCACTCCTCGCCGGCTCCGGAGGAAACAGCGCAGATAATCCGAGCAACGCCCCGAGCCTTTCCAGGGCACCATTGGGCTCCGAGGGGGCCGGAGCACGGCCCCCCGCGCCCGGGCGGGTGCAGACAGCTCCGCTCGCCCCGAACTGTAGCCCCAGCGCATCTCCCCGGCCCCGGGCTGCGGGATGCACGGGGGCGGGCTGAGGCGGCGCGCAGCTCATCACACCCTCCGGGAGCAGCCCCAGCAGGCCCCCAAGCCCCCGGGGACCTCCCCCTCTCCACTCTCCCGCACAGGAAGGCGGTGACGGGGGGAAATATCCCCCTCCGCGTTACCTTTCTCCTGAAGCGGGGCGCTCCCCTCCTCCCTGCTAACCTGGGCGATGATGGACTGGTGCTCCATGGGCGCCGGGGAGGGGGGTGGGAGGGGGCGGCCCCCCCCGGCGCGGCCCCCGGGGGGGGAGGCGGGGCGGGGGCCGGCGGCGGCGCGGGGCGGCGGGCGCGGGAGCGGCGCCGCGGAGGAAACTTTGTTACAACATGGAGTTTCCTCCGCCCGGGCTGGGGCTGCAAACATGGATCCCGGGCGCGGTTTCAAGGAACCCCTTAAAAGGGCAACGACGGCGGGGGGGCCCTCCTCCTTCTCCCTCCTCCTCCTCCTCCCTCCTCCCGGCACCCGCGCCGCCCGGGAGGAGTGGGGTCCCCGCCAAACCGCGACTGGGACCGAGACGGGGAGTGTTGTGTGGTTTGGCTGGGAAGGACCCCCCCCCCCCCTTGTTCCATGGTGACCGTGCAGGGGTCCCCGACACCCCAGCGGGCTGTCCCATACTCTCCCGCCCCGACTGGGAGAGCATGGAGAGGGGGATCAGTCCTGCTGTCACCCCCAATCCAGCTGGCAGCCCGGGGATCCCTCTGCAGCTACTCCCGGAACATGAACACGTCCCCCCATGCTGGTGTCCCCTGGACTAGCGGCTCAAGGCTGGGGGCTCCCCATTGCCCCCCGAGGGCACATCTGGCATTGCCTGCACAGACCAGCGGTTCGGGACAACAGGTGCTGGGGGGCTGCACCAATAACCGCCGCCTTTTCCCATCGTTCCGTCTTTCTCCTGCAATCCCCCCATTATTTGGGCAATTAATAAGTCTATATTATCATTACATATACTTTCCCTTACAATTCCTTCCTTCGTGCCTTCGGCGGGGAAAGGGGGCTATTTCCAGGCGCTTTCTGAAAAGCGACTCTTGACGGGAGCTTGTGGATGGCACAAGTGCCTCAGAGGAAACCCGCCCCCCAAGCCCCTCAAGTGCAGCATCATCCAGCCCCCTCCCCTCGCTAGCCCTGCGTGGCTCTGCCGGGGCAGCCTCTCACCGCTGTGCCCCCCAGCCCCGCCCAGAGGGGACCTGTCCCAGTCAGTATCCTCGCTAGCTCGCTGGTAGGAGATGCTGTGCGCGCTGTCAGCGCTGCCTCGAGGGTGCAGCAGGTTAGAAATTTCCCATCTGAGCTCATTTGAAATCTTTCCACCTCTCCCCCTGCCGTTTGGGAACTTCGGGAGCTGAGATCGCCTTTTCCGGCCCAGCAGGGACCAGGGCACTGGTGAGGCAGAGATGCAGGCGGTGCAGACCCCGGTTACCGCTCTATCCCCCGGGGCTGAGCCGACATGGCACGGTGGGGGCAGCCCTGGGAAACAGCGCTAGAAGGGGACCCGTCCCACCTTCCAGCGTGGGGCACAAGGGGACATGACACGTGCCCACAGGTGACCGCGCCGGGAAATGGGGTCCGGGATTGGGAGGTGCCCCCACAGGGAACTCTGGCAGTACAAAAGCCGGTTTACACCTGCAGTTCCCGCACTCTCGGCTCCACGTGGAACATCCTGGCACCAGGTGCCCCCGGGGAGCCGTGGCAGGGACCAGCTGCTGTTGGGAACCGGGACACTGCATCCTGCCACCAGCTCTGATGGTGGGCATCAGTCGTGCCTCAGTTTCGCTGCCCCTCCACAGAACGGCAGCCGGCTCCCACATCAGGCAGCCACCACTGCCTCCTGGCCCAGCAGGAGGAAAGGGAAGAAAGAGTCTGTGCTTCCTCAGCTCTCTGTTTTGGGCTGACTTCTGTGCTCCTTTAGCCCAGGTGGAACTGGACAGGATGTCATCCCCAGCATCTGGCTGGACTGGGCTGCTGGGGGATGCTGCTCTCTGTGAGGACAGCTGCAGAGCCCACACACCGGTCCCCTCCAGGACCCCATCCCTTTGGCTACATTCTCCTCCCTCCCTGTTAAGTCCAGCAAGGCTCTGTTAATCCTCCAATTAATGCAATTAGAAAAGTCTCTGGGCCAATGCCTGCAGCGGTAGTTGGAGCACCACTTCCAGTTCCACTGCTTGCTTGAGGGCAGATTGGGCAGCCGGGGAGCTCAGGGAGATACTGTCCCTGTCCTGGGGCTGTGGGACAGGCCAGGAGTAGGTAGAGCCCTGCTTGATTGTTTGGGCTGCAAGGTACGGGCACAAAGCAGATTTCTCTGTCCCACCCCACTGCTCCTAGACTGGGGTCCCTGTTCTCCAACCTAGCCCTGGCCCTGGTAGCTCTGCCCCACCAAGAGCTGTCCCATGGCCAAGGGACCACAGAGATAGGTTTTGGAGTGGGACACCCTCATCAGGATTGGGTGGAGGCAGGTGACCCTGGGCTATGGGTCCTCTGGGTTGCAGGTCCCAGCTGGACAACAGCAAATCCCACGGGCATAACCCCGCAGACCCCAGCCTTCCGCCCGCTGAAGACCACCCCGATGCCCCCCTACCCCTTGGTGACTCGCCCCAAGGCTTGTACCCCCGGGCAGGTGCACCCCGAGCTAGAGGCGTCTCCTGCTCCTCCTCCTATGGCTCGGGTCGGCTGCACCCCCGGAGGAGGGGGGAGCCCCCGCCTTTCGGTGGGCCCCACAGCTCTGGCCCCTCCTTCAAGCAGCCAGAGGCCGGGCCAACGCGGAGGCGGAGGGGAGGCACCGCCCCACTCCGTCCGCCATCGCCCTTTTAAGGAAGGGGACATTCTTCACATAAACAAGCGCGGCCCCCGGGAGCAAGGGGGGGTCCCTTCCCGGAGTGGGGGGCACGGGCTTGGGGGGGGGCGTCCGGCCCCCAAAATTTCCCCTTCAGCACCCGGCCGGCGTGGGTCGGGAAGTGGGATTTTGGGATGGGGGGCCCTGGGGAGAGGGGGGAGCCTTGAAACAGCCAGGGAGCGTCTCGCAAGTGCGGACCGCGGCGGGGGCCGAAGCGCGGTGGGACCCCCCCCGCTACCCGCGGTGCGCGGCCGAGGAGGGAGCCACGGCCGCCCTCGGGGAGAGCCCGAGCCGAGCGCCTTCGCATCCGCATCCGGCAGCACCGGCAGGCGGGAAACGGGGCATCCGGGGCGGGGAGGGCGCGGTGGGGCTCCCCACTGCCCCAGTCCCCCCGGAGAATGCAAAAAGCTGGCGCTGAGTCCCCCGCGCCGCCACGGCCACGTGTTGGCAACCCCGCCCACTCCCCCGCCCGGGGCAAAGGGGCCGTCCCCGGGGTGCGGGTGGGCCTAGGGGGTCCCCGCCCCACAGCGGGACCATGCAGCCGCAGCGAGGCCGAGGCCAGGTTACAAACACGCCGTTTATCAGCATCCCTCCTCCCCCCGAGTTTCGGAGCCCCCAGTGGGGATGGGGCCGGTCCCGGGCGGTGGGGGGTGGTTAGCGGTCCCCGCGGTAATTAGCGGTCCCCGGCAGAGATTAGCGGTCCCGGGGGCCGGCTGTTCCCGGCAATAATGAGCAGGGGAAGTCTCCGACGCAGCTCATTCACTGAAGCGTCTGTGCCAAGGGCTGGGAGAACTTCCCGCTGCTATTCCACTCCCCTCGCATCGAGCCTGGACCAGCACCCCGGAACTGGCGGGCGTTGGGGATGGGAAGAAGCGCTGAGCTCTGAGATCTTGGGGGGGAGGTCTGCCGATCTGTTCACCCTTTCCTTGCTGGGTTAATCTCTGGCTAAATCATGCCCGGACTCGGAGTGGTAGCAAATCTGTGTCCGATGTGAAGAGGCCGCGCTGGGCAGGGACGTGGGGATAATAAGCAGGGATGGAATCTCTCACCATGTGCCTGTCGGGTCGAGGGCGAGACCAAAATTGAACCGGCTGTGGTGGCCTCGGGCCAGGAACCGGGCTCCATGCGCGATGCTGCATGTCCAGATCTGCAGGGACAAAGAAGACAGGTCGATGAACACCCACCAGGGACACTGTCCCACCCCTATCCCGCGGTGCCAGCCCTACCAGGTAGGCGACGAAAGCCACGTAGGCAGCCAGTAGCAGGCCCAGGGGAATGTAGTACTCCAGGCCATGTAGTGTTGGCAAAAAGTCCACCACGAAGTAAATGTTGATGGCGCAGACCAGCCCCGTGATGAGGGTCATCAGCACCTTCCCTGGGCTGCAAGTAGGGCAGTGGGCATCAGTGCCACGGCAGGGCCCCCACCCTGTGCGCCACTGGCACAGAGGGCTGAGGGAACTCAGTTTGTAGGTTAACCAGACCCCAACTGCAAACATCTCTGCACCCCACAGGTATATTTCACCCCTTGGTGAGGTTCTAGGTATGGACTTAGGCCACCTTCCAAATCCAGGGCTGGCAGTGCCAGGAGGATGCTTAGGGTGCAGGGGTGCCCATGGAACCAGATGTGTCATTGGGAGGAGGATGACGAGGATAGTAATGGTGTCTGTTCTGCTCTGGCTGCCCTGGGCAGGTGGGAATGAACATACCCCTCCAATGTCCATACACTAATTGCCCCATGGCATGGTTTGGGGGCAGGATAGGCCAAAGGGAAGGTGCCTGCAGCCAGAGCTCCCCACTGTGCCTCCCCGTGACCTGGCACTCACAGGCTGTTGCTGAAATCCTGCATGAGCGGGTGCAGGCTGGTGAAGGTGAGGACGGGCAGGACGGCAAAAGGCAGCTGAAAGGAGAGAGGGATGAGGACATCATGGCTGCCAGGCTAGGGTGTTTGGGCGCAGGTGATGCCCTCCCACCTCCTTACCAGGATGCTCTGCAGGACGTTGAGCAGGTCATTCATGCCTGTGAGGTGGGTGACATCCTTGAAAGCAGCCACGAAGACAGTGGGCAGGATGGCAAAGGAGCGGGTGAAGAGCACCCGGGTGAAGCGAGACCAGCGGAGCTGCAGGAAGCCCTGGAACACGGCAGAACCTGCACCCTCGCTGTGCCTGGGGCACCCTGTCGGGGTGACCCACTAAACCCTGGCTGGGAGGAACATGGGGGGCATTTCCCCCTCATTCGTGCCCGGACACTGAGCGGGCTCTTGCAGGGCTGCCGGGCCCCACTAGGTGTCAGCTCCGACTCATTAACAGAGGATCTAATTAATTAGGGAAACATTGTGTGGGGCATCCACAGAGTGCAGTGGGTGGGCACTGTCTCCATCCCACCTCCTGGGGAACAGGGACACTGGTGGTAGCAAGCTGCCACCCACCAGATCCCCGCAGGAAAGGTGGGCAATTAACTCTTTCACATACTCCTCGGGGAGTGTGTTCCCATAGAACTCCTCCACCCAGGGCCCACCTGTGATTTCCCTGCTCTCAGCCCCTCCGTGTGGGGGCAAGGGCCAGCATCATTATCTCTACCTCCATGACGAACTGCCCTGCGTAAGTCCCAGTCATTGTAGAGCTCTGTCCTGCTGCCAGGATCCCGATGCCCCAGATGTACAATGCCGCTGCTCCAAAATAGCAGCCCAGGATGACGCCCTGTGTAGGGACACTCCAGTGGGCACCCTGAAGTGTCCCGTACCCCAGGCATTCCCATCAGCTCCCAGCTTTCTAGTGAGGTTATAACCATCCCCAGCCCCAGGGGATGATAGGGAGAGTAATACATCCCCCAGATGGGAATGGATGCTCACTGAGCACAGCCTGGAGCCACTCACCCCCTGGTAGATATCCACAGAGACTGTCTTGTTGTTGATGGGGAAGATGCTGGCATAGTGACTGATGCTGCTGTTGATGCACTTGTTGTACTGTAAGGCATGGCAGGCACGAGTGTGAGAGCCAACCAGCAGCTCCCACAGACACAGGGGGATCCCCACACGTCACATCTCAGGGAATGTGAACTTGCAGTCCTCAGGGGATGCTCGTCCTGCCCATGCCCACAGCTGGGCACAGCAGTCATCTCCCTGTGGACATGAGGTGACACTCACCACATCCTCATTTCGCTGGTGGTAGAAAGCCTCACCGAAGACAGCCATGACAAAGAGGTTGATGAGGAAGGAGACAAAGAGGGCCAGGCAGGACTCGATCAGGAAATACATATTGGCCTCCTGCACTGCCTCCTTCTTGGACCGGTCGATCTCCCGTGTCTGGGCATGGCCAGTGACATGGGTGTCACAGGGTCACGTGAGCACCCCTGTCCCACAGCCAGGACCAGCTGGTCCACACCAACTGTACCCTGAGGCACCCTGGCAGAACAGTGCCCATGGCAGTGCCTTGATCTCACCTTGACCAAGGAGGAGTGGAGGAAGATGTTATGGGGCATAATGATGGCGCCAATGATGCCCATGGCCTGCAGCAGCTCCTTTCGCCCGCAGCCTGGGCAGTTGGGCAGGAAAATGCCCTTCAGCACCTCCACCTGCCCTGGCCTCACCACCACGTACTGGGAAGCAGCGAGAAGGGGCACTGTGAGCTGCCACCCTACTACCACAGGCTGGTAGCAGTGGGGACGCCGTGTGGTGGCGTCCCCTGCCAGCCTTGCAGGAAAAGGGTTGTCCCCCAGCTCCCTCCTTCACCTCATAGCCAAAGGTCAGGGCCATTATGGTGATGAGGAGGCCGAAGAAAGCCTCCAGTTTGCGGAGCCCTAGAGAGGTCAAGATATGGGGTGGAACAGAGCAGGGGACACTGGTGCCACATGGGCACCAGGGCTGCCTGAGTGACAGCACCCCCAGCCCTCATCCTGGCACTCACCGTACTTATCAAAGAAGAGGAAGAAGAGGGTGTCCACGATGGTGATAAGGACCCCACCCCAGAGGGGGATGCTGCAGGATGGCCAGGGGTGGGGTTAGATACATGGCCCTCTGTGGAGTAGGGCTGTGGGGGGGCTGGGGGTCCCTGTGGGGCAGCTCACCGGCCAGCTGAGAGCAGGCTGAAAGCAATGGCTGTCCCGATCACCTCCTGCATGTCAGAGCCAATGATGGCGATCTCAATCATGAGCCAGAGCAGCACACGGGGCACCTGTAGGGGACAGGGCACCATGAGGTGCCTGAGCCCACAGTGGCACATAGCTCTGGGCAAGCTGGCACAGCATCCTGGGTGCAAATACCTGTCTCCAGGCTGTAGCAGGCCACCCAGAGCAGCATGAGGACCCCAGAACCCCTCTCAGCTTCTTTCACAACACAATCTCAGGATGAAAGATGGATGCTAAATTTGAGTCTGTTCTCCCCCTCCTCATCCCTCAAGTGAGAGTTGAGGATAGAACCCATCTGTCTAGGTATGGGGGGTTTGAGGGAGGTGGGGCAGAGGGATGCATCCAACCCTCCTTTTGGGGACCTGTCATTCAGCCAGCCAAGGAGATCCTTGCCACTTGACACTTAGATGGGACCCTTAACTCCCCCCCTCTCCTGCGTCATGTGATCCCTCCCCTCAAGCCTCCCAACTTTCTGCCCCAACACGCCCAGGCTTTCCTGCGTCTCGGCTTCGCGTTGCTGCTCCGAAGCCTGGGCTCACTCCCGCGGGGGACGCTCTCATGTGTCCCCAGGTCACACCAGGACACTGAAGTAGCTGCTTACCGCTTCTCACCCTGGGCCCCTGTACTGCAGGGGTATGGGTTTGGGGAGCCCCTGAGAGAGGCAGATCTCTCTCAGCATCTTCCTGCTCCTCTCTAGCCCTGCAAGTCCCTGGCAGGACTGTCACCAGCCCAGGCACAGGGTCTGCCCCAGACTGTGACCCCCAGGGGCCTCCCCTTAGGGTAACAGAGGTAGCAAATAGAGGTACCTTCTCACCTTAGGGTAACAGAGGTAGCAAATAGAGGTACCTTCTCACCTTAGGGTAATAGAGGTAGCAAATCTCGGCCAGGTCCTTCCCGGTCACCACTCCTAGACGGATGGCCAGGCGCTGGCACAGCAGCCCCAGGACAGTGGCCCACAGCAGCACCCACAGCAGCTGGGGGACAGGAGGGAGGGAGGCAGTAGGGGCTGGGTAGTGGGCAGGATCTGGCCGCCCGGGGGTCCCCAGTTCAACCAGGATTGCAGGGAAGAGAGGGGGTGCAGGTGCTCTCCCAGGCCAGTCAGAGGGGTGCCTTCCTGGGTGCCCTCTCCCTGTGCCAAGGGCCCCCTGTGTCCTTCCTTCCCGGGCTGGGGAAGCCACTGCCGTGGGCAGCCGTTGGCGCTGGAGAGGTTACGAAACCCCCGCGGGCTTCCTGAGCCGGAGCCCAGCTCACCTTAAATCCCGCCAGTGCCCCGCCTTGCAGGTCTGACTCCACATTGCCTGGGTCCAAGTACGCGATGCTCATGAGGAAGCCGGGACCGGTGAAAGCCCAGAGTTTCCTAAAGCTGAACCCAGTCTGGGACAAGGCAGCAGGTCAGAGCCGGGAGCTGCCGTTCAAAACCAGTGTCTCCTAATTGCACATCCAGTCCCCTTTAGCTCAGTGCTGCCCGCATGGATATGTTTAGGATATGGAGGTAATTTTCCTGACAGTTTTGGAGACGGAACTGCTGCCCCCAGCCTGTCCCTGTTAGCAGAAGTGCTGGAGGGGCAGTGACCCCCGTCTCACCCATTGGACAGTGATTTCCAGGGCAGTCTCAGGGCCGTCAGGCACTATTAATTGCACTCCATGGGATTCCAGTGCTGTCCTCTGCTTTTGCTCTTGACTAGGGCATACCATTCCTTCCCCTTTGTTCCACTGCCCCGAGACCAGACGAGGATGGCCGGGGGCTAGTGGGGTGCAAGCAGCTTTGGGGAGCCCCACTGGGCTCATCCGTGGGTGGCCCAGGATGTGTGTGACCAGTGGGGTGATCCTTGCAGCTGGGTAGCACCTTGCCCCATTGTATCAGTTTCTCCATCTGGAAAGCTTTAAGCTTGGTAACACTCAACCTAGGGCTGTGACTTGCCTGAGCTGGGTCTGGGGTGCTGGGGGCATGTCCTCAGAGCATGACCAAGGCACATAATCCCCACTGTAGTGGCCCTTTGCGTCCCCACCTCCAGCTCCCTGCAGCACTGTCCCGCTTCCCCGCCCTCCCTGAGACAGCCTTGCAGTGCTTACCCCGCTGCCCTTGGGTATGCTGATGAGCTCATCCAGGTAGGTCTGGTTCTGAGTACCAGGGCGGTGTGGGGGCATGGGGCTCCTGCCAGTGCTGCAACTCTGCTCTTGGCCCCTGTTCAGGGACTTGGTGAGGCCTGGGGGGGACAAGAAAGAGGAGGGGAGGTGGAAGCCTGCCAGGAGGACAAGGACACTGGTGGGCTGGTAGCCCTGGTACCAACTTCCTCCAGTCCCACCTGACCCTACCTGATGAACCCCATGAGGGACAAGCACCAGTTTTCCAGGGGGGCCATGAGGATGGCTACATGGGATCTATCAAAAGCTACCCAAAGGGATCAGATGCCACGTTCAACTCACGTGTCCCTAAAACCCCATGTCTCATCCCTGTCTTCACCTCTCCAAGAGCCAAGTGCATTTCTGGGCAGCAGAGACAGGAGCAGACCCTGCTCCAGCTCTTGCTGCTGCATGGGCATAGACTGAGGACAAAAAGCTGGTACTTGTCCTAATCCCCCCTCTGCAGCCCACCTACATGCTGGGAATTAGTTGAATCACATTTCCAGGCTTGAGGGAACAGAGGATGGATGGGGCAGGTGGGGAATCCAGGACAGGCTGGGGGGGATGGTGCCCACTGAAAGATGGAGCACAGCCAAGGGTCCCAGGGTGGAGGGAAGGGGATCTAGAGGATGAAAGGAGGCACAAGGGGACCCAAGAAGTGTTGTGAGGCTCACCTGGTTCCAGTGATACCATGGTTAGACCCGATCCAGCCACAGGCTCCCTGATTTCAGCACTGAGTGCAGTTCCTGCTGCCCAGCTTTTAAAGTAGCCCCCTCGGTTGTGTCATTCCACCCTCCGCCCCCCCCCCCTCAGGAGGAGAGGAGGAGAATAGGAGAAGGAAGTGCTCCTTCCCTACCCCTATGAATACAGTCCTGGTTCCCCCCGGTGTCGGGAGGCTCCTTCCCTCTCCTTTGCCTCACACACGTGCAAACACGAGGCGCCCTCACCGAGGCGTGGGAGCATGTCTGCATGTCACTTTCCATCACATGCCAACGCTTCTGCTTGGGTGGCTGGGGGACAGGGGACAGTGTCCCAGAGAGTGAGAAGGGAAGGCTGGCCCCACGGAAGTAGGGCAAATGCCATAGAAGTGGGAGCGAGGAGGAAGCAGGCACATATTGCGTAAGGAGATCAAAATGCACCCTTAGCTGCTGAGGGAAGCACTCAGCCAGGCAGGATCTGTGACACAGGGTGCTCACATCACATTCGGGTACAGGGACCTTCATACCAAAGATGGCGTGCCAGTGTGTTGCAGTGTCAAGCTGTGCCAACAGAAGTGGGACACCCCATTCCCAGGACCCTCATGGCTGTGGAGGTGGAAGGTGGGAGCCTGGTTAGTACTGGCTGCCCTTCTGGGGTACCCTTCTGCCAGCCAGGCTGTGTCCCACAGGGTGGTGGGCAAAGGGTGTCCCCCAGGAATATGTGGGGTGGTGGCAGGTGCAGCGATGTGAGCCTGGTCCTGCTCCACAGTACACCCCAGGCATCCCCCACCCACTAAGCAAGGGCTAGAACAGCTGGAAGGGGGACAGGGTCCCACCCAGAAGGCATGGTGGGGCTTTAGCACACAGGTCAGCTCCACCTGCCATCCCTGAGCCTCAGTTTCCCCAAAGCAAACAAGACTGGACAGGCAGTGCTGGCTGCTTTATTTGCCATTAGCTGGAGGGTGGCCAGGTGAGGATTTGGGGAGGGGGCTGGCAGCCCTAGGGGAGGCAAAGGGGCTCCCAATGGGCCGCTGGTGGGCGAAGAATTCTGCAGCAAAGGAGATGGGGTCATGTGGCTGCTGGAAGAGCAATGCCTGGAGGAAGTCAGACAGCAGTGCCCGGACCTCGGGGTGCTGCTGGAGGTAGGCAGCATGAGATAGTTGCAGCTCGTCCTGTAGTGGGGTGGACAGGGTTAGTGAGGTGGTCATGAGCACATATTTTCCCCCTGGGTACTGTGCCAGGGTGAGAGGGACAGGAGCCTTGGTCCTTTCCCACACTTCAGAAGGTGTGAGGAAGGATGTTGGTTGGCCTGCTCCCTCCCTGTGCCTCCTGGGCACACCAGGAGAGACCCTACTGGAGACTGGCACAGCCCCATGTCCCCTTGTCCCCATGTCCACCCATCTTACCTTCCTGTCCAGAAAATGGGAGTAGAGCTGTATGTCCTCCTCCCAGTCCAGGTGTTCTTTGGGGAAGGGGAGCTGGGGTTCGAACTTACCTGGAAGCAGAAAGGTAGGGCACGGTGTTCCCCCTTGAATTCCAGACAGTGGGCAGAGGCTGCCTGTGCAGGGGGGCACAAGCCTCCCCTGCTCAGTACCTGACTTGCTGAGGATGGACTCATCCTGTAGAAGCATGAGCATTGGGGAGCCAATCTGCATCAGCTGAGCCAAATGCCTGAGAGGGGAAGAGCCCTTGACTTCCCCATGCTGGGTCCCACCAGGCTGGCAGGGCTGAGGTGGCTCTGACCAGACCCCTGCCCTTACCCGTTGGGGAGGAAGCTGCTGTGCCAGACAGTGGAGGCGCCTGTGCTGGTGTGCACGGCTCGCTGGATCACAAACACGTCTGTCTCTGCTGAGCCCACTGCCTGCCGCTGGATGCCCAGGGCAGACTGGGAACAGCCAGGGGTCAGCCTTATCTCAGAGTCACCTCTGCCCCCAGGTGCCATCCCCATGCTGTCAACCACATTCTGCCCACTCCCATTTCCCACATTCCACCCTGGTGTCTCCAGCCTGACCCAGACCCCTTCCCATCCCACAGGTCCTCCTAGCTGGTGGCTCACATAGCTGGAGGTGCAGAGGTCGCCCTCGGTGTTGATGGCTGGGAAGACAAGGTCGGGGGGCATTGTCTGCCGGCGTGCCAGCACCCGCAGCAGCAGGAGGCTGGCACCCTCCAGCAGCAGCCCCTGCAGCTTAGCCCGGCTGTAGGAGAAGCTCTGGCACTGTGGCTCTGCCTGCAGAGAGACCTGGTTATCTCATGGGACGGCCACCCCCAGAGCCTGGGCACCCCTGGTGAGACAGGCCAGCTGTGCTGCCCCCTCCCAGGATGTGATCCGACTCTCAACCTCACCTCTCCCTCCTGCAGGGTCTTCCAGACAGTCATCCCATGCTCGTGGCTCACAATGTGGGTCGTCTTCTCTGTGGGGTGTGGTCTGAGCTGCAGAAGGGGTGGGAGGCACAGGGTGGAGGGTAGAGCCAGGACACCCCCTCCTCTGAGGTGGCACTCCCCAGGACCCTTGTCAGTCGGGGTACCATATCAGATGCATTGTGGGAAACTCCCCACCCCAGAGGCTACCCAGAGGACGGGATGGGGACCATGCTGGTGGGGAAAAACTGGAGTTTAAGCATGACAAGGGACACCAGACTACTCACAGTAGCCTTGCAGGGGGCACGGCCCCCAGGAGCGAACCACTGCAAGGCACACCCCAGGGCAGTGGGGTAGGACACAGGGAAGGGGACATGCCACCACCATATCAGTCACCTCCAGGCGCTCCTGCTCCTCCTGCTCCAGGGTCTCCAGCTGCCAGGTCACATAGGCTGGCAGAGCAAAGCCATGCTCAACCAATCCCGTTGGTACTGTCCCCATTCCCAGCCCTGGGGGCTGGTGGACAGGGATGTTCTAGCCCTCGGGAGGAAGGAACCCCCCCAGAGCCACCCCTGGCTCACCTTTGAGGGTGCTGGAGGCAGGTACACCATCCTGCTTGCCTCGGAACCTGGTTTGCACCAGGATGCAACTCTGCACCGGCTCGCCTTCCCGCTGGTAGGGTGCCCACTGGGCTGCCATCCACCACTGGCCCTCTGCTTTGTCCCCTGGTGGGGCCCCCACGGCCACCACCGCCAGCCTCTCAGCAAACAGGCACCACTCCAGCTCCTTCAGCCCTGCACAGAGGGATGGTGACCCCAACACAGAGGGACAGTGACCGCGATGGTCATTCTGGTCACTCCCTCCCGGATTGACTGCCGCCCCTGCCCGCTGCCCCTCCCTGTCTCCATTCCCCCTCTGCAGGCTGGGTCGAGCCCCTCACCATTTATCCCGCTCAATCCCTCCCTATCCGTCCCCCCACCTCGCACCGGGCACGGTGTGGCGGGACAAGGGGGAGGCTGGGGGGACACGCACCGATGAGGCTCAGGAACTCGGCAGCAGTGTCCGTCATGGTCGGGGGCTCCTGTGGGCACTCGGGAGGGGGCTCCTGCTGCCGGACCCTCACCCCGCCTCCGGAGCAGCCCCCAGCCCCTGTCGCCCCCAGCCACCCCCGGGTCCCCGCCCTGTCGGTCCGGCCCCGGTGCCCCCCGACGCCTCCGGTCCCCCCGGCAACGCCCTGGCCCCACCTCTTAAAGGGGCCGCACCCCGCCGCGCCCCGCCGAGGAGAGAAAGGGAGAACAGGTGTAAAATCGATCCAGTCTTTTATTTGGGGCGTGGGGGTGATTGTGGCTCCGACCCCAGTGAAGCAGCACCCCCCATACCCCAGTAGTGTGACCCTATGGCCCCGTCCCAGTGTGTGTGTGTGTGTGTACGTACAGGGGGGGCTCCGGCTCAAGGATGGGGTGCGGGAGAGGAGCCCCGTGCCTGGAGGTAGTACTGCCAGCCCGCCATCCCTTGCTGGCTCCATCCCAGCCCCCACAAAGGAGATGCACAACACTGGGGGCTTAAAGGGAGGGGGCTGAGTGGTGGTGGTGGAGGGGAAATTGGAGACTCCCAGAAAAACGGGGGCTGGGGGGGATTGTAGGAAAAGCCCTTGGTGCCATTCCTATAGCCCCAGCAGTGAGGTGGGGGGCTACAGACCCCCCGAAAGGGGATTGAGGTGCTTCTAATGACAGCTGGTGGCCCTCAAGTTCGAGGGAGCAAAGGCAGGGCTGCCTTATGGAGTGCCCATTTAAGGGGGTGTCCACTCTTCCCCCTCCCCCAACCCTGCACCCCAGGAGGGAGATTCACAGCAAAACAAACCACACAGTGTCGGGCCCCCTGTGCCCAACCATCACCCTACCCTGTGGAAAGAGGGGATCCAGGGAGTGGGGGAGGATCTAGGTGGCTTGGTAGAGGTCCTTGCGCCTCCGCACCTCCTTGAGGACACGGGCACGAAAGGCGTCGGGGTCCTCCCCCCTGCCCTGCCACAGTCCCAGTGCCTCCTGCAGCTCCGGCCGGTGGGTCCGCAGGAAGGGGTTGTAGGTCTGCTCTTCCCCCAGCGTGGAGGGGCACTGTGGGGGCAGCTGCTCAGCTCCCCTGCTGGAGGCAGCACCCTCGGCAGGGAGCTGGGAATGCCCCCAGCACCCCCTGCCCCTATGGCACCCACCATGCAAGAGGGTGTGGGGGTGCAGCATCCCTGCCAAGGGAATCCCTTGAGGGGTTGGGGTGGAGGGTGCTGCACCCAGGGACTCCCACGTCTCACCGTGCTCCTCTTCTCCTGGCGCTGCTGCACTGCCCACTGCAGCTTCTGCTCCAGCGCAGAATTGTCCAGCTCCAGGAGGCTGGCGAAGGTCAGGCACTCCAGTGCGTATTCGTGACCTGTGGACCCCCATAGGCAGCCCTTAGCATCACCCCCACCTTGGCAGAGGGAACGAGGGGGACACCAGCAGCGCTGCCCTGCTGTTGGGGACACTCACCTGGCCAAAGCAGCGTGTCCTCGCCCAAGGCCATGGCCAGGTCCAGTGAGGCGAGCATGGTCTCAGGGGAGCCCTCAAACGGCCTGCCTGGACCCCCACACAACCACCTGTCATGGGGGAGCCTGGGGTGGTACCCCTAAGCCCATCCTGGGATGGGATAACCCCCAACACCCCAACTCTCTGTCTGGAGTTGGGTGCACTCACCACAGCCAGCAAGGAAGAGGAGGTCCCCGGAGAAGAGGCAGGGGGGGCTGCCGAAGGGGGCCCCATCCAGCACATACACCATGTGGCCCACAGTGTGGCCAGGTGTGGCGAGTGCCTCAAAGGTCAGGCAGCCCACACTCACCTTCTCCCTGTCTGCAAGTGGGCTGTGCAGGGAACAGGGGGCACCGTCAGGGTGCTCCCCCCAACCCCAGCACCACAAAATACAACAAGTGTGGCAACCCTACCCACACACTGGTATCAGGAGCATGCCAGGTCTCTGCCCAACATGTTACTGGGTGGATGGACTGGTGGGTGAGTGCCACAGACAGTGTTGGTTCGGAATGAAGCCCCCCCCCCCAGATTTACAGGGGTGCTAGGGGGGTGCAGGACTTACTTGGTGAGCTGTGGGATGGCATCGAGAGCGCTGCCATACACCCTGCAGGACTTGTGCTTCTGGCAGAGTGCTTCGTTCCCTCCGCTGTGGTCCCTGCAGACAATGAGGTCAGAGACCCTAAATGTACCCCCCCATACTCCCCCCACTAAATGGGGCAGGGCTGGGGGTCGCCTCAGGTGGGGCAACGTTCACAGCAGCTACCAACCCTTCCACGGCCACCTCTTGTCCCTTACCAGTGTTTGTGTGTGCAGAATATGGCCTGCAGCATCACCCCCTCTTCTTCAATGGCAGCCTGGGAATGGGGAGGAAATATGGGCAGAGAGATTAGGGGGGACAGAGAACCCAAGTACCAGAAACCGAGCCAGCTCGGGTTTCTGCATTAAATCCACCCTTACTGTTTTGTTTTCCGGCTTGCAGCCTCCCCAGGCTCCTCACATTTAGACAGCCCTGGATGAAAGCAGGTTAGAGTATCCTCTCCTGCTGTCTCCCTGTCAAACCCTCTCTCTCGGCTCCTCTGTTATGCTCCAATCTTGCCTTGGGCACTAAAAGCTGCAGATTAGAGGCAGATTTACTCCCCTCTAACCCCAAAATACAGAGTCCTGCCACGCCCTAACCTGGAGACAGCCAAACACAGGTCAGAGTGCTTGTGGGGGTCTCACCTGTACAGCCAGTGGATCAGAGGGGTCAATGACAGCCGCTTGGCTGGAGCCAGTGTCGATGACCAGGTAGCTGTAGTTGTTGGAGAGCACAGGAATGGGCAGGATTTTCACCCCTGGTTGGGAACAGACAGAGTCAGGGCATGAAACCCCGGCTGGAAAAGGGGGAGTCCAGGCCAAACTCCCCACACCTTACTTCAAATTCTTAGTTAAACATGCTTCGGGCAATTCAGCGATGGCAACCCCTCTCCACCCCAAAGTGCCAGTGCTGGGGGACACTGCAGGGCCGTGGCGTGGCAGGGGCTCGCCAGGACTCACCAGGGAAGCAGTAGGGCTGCGGCACGGAGTGGCCGTGTGGATACCGCTCCCGAGCCTTCTTCACCTGCCGCTGGTAGAAGAGGTAGCCCAGGCGTGTGCGGGCGTACAGGCTGTACCTAGGGAAGGCACACACCCCTAGGCATTAAACCCCAGTTCCCCTAAGGAGCCCACTTGGGAAGGGGGCTACTGCCGAGGCTGTGACTCCTGCAGGGAATACATACAGGACCACTTCGTCATTCGGGGATGCTAGAGGTGGTGTGTGTGTGTGTATGCCACACCCCAGATGCATAGTGAGGGCAGGACTGGTTCCCCAAGGACTGCGGGGCATTGCTGCGGGGTGCTCACCAGGAGGAGTTGGAGGTGGCTGTTTCCCCCCATGCTCCGGGGGGAGGGGACATGCCCAAGCTTGCCATGGTCCGGGGAATTAGGGAACAGAATGGGCAGAGGAAAAGGGAGGCAAGAAATGCGTCCGTGCATGTGGGGGTGCAAAAGACAACATGCTGCGGGGCTCGAAAGGACCTCCCCGTTTACACAGCAGCGACTTGGGACGGGATGGGGAATGGCGCAATGATGGACAATGTAATGTCCTGGGTTGCAAAGTCCATTCCCGGCCGAGGACACCCCATGGCACACCAGGAGCGATTCCTGCAGTAACGGGGGATCTCCTGCGTCTGTGGCAGTGGGAGCCTGAAACGGTGGCGCAGGGGCTCCTGCCAGCAGCGCGTAGCCTGACCACGGCCGGGGCACCGGGGCAGGTCAGCTGTGACACCCGAGAGAAGGCGCCCCTTCACCGGGAGGGTGACCGGCACCGCGCGGGGGGAGCCGGTGGCGGATCCCCGGCCCCAGCGGCCGGGCTGACACCGCTCACCCCCACTGCCCCGGCCGGAGCGGGCTGAGCCCCAGCCCGGTCTCCCGAACCGGCGCGACCGCAGGTTTCTCCCGGGGCGGCTCCGCAGAAGCAGGGGAGGATGGTGGGCCCTCCCTCCCGGCGGCAGCACAAAGGCGGGCGGCGTGGCCGCCTCCCTGCGGGGGTCCCGCAGCGGCGACCGCTCGCTCTTTCTCTCGCTCGCTCGCTCGCTCACTCACCCCAGGCGGAACAGCAGCGGGGCGGCGAAGGCCATGAGCGCGCCGGCGGCGCGGCGGGCGCGGCGGAGGAGGCGCAGGCAGGCGGCCCCGAGCCCGCGCGCCCCGGCCGCTGCCGCCGCCGCCGCCGCCGCCCCGCCGGGCCCCGCGGCCATGCCGCCAACCGGCGTCACGCGCCCGCCGCGCTGCGCCCCCTGCCGGCCCCGCGGCCGCGGTACCGGGAGAGGGGGGGGACACTCTCGGCACAGCGCTCACGTCACCCGCGGAGAGGAGGGGATTCCCCCCCGCCGCCAAGAGCGGTGTCCCCCCGATGACGTCACTGCGTGAGGAAGGGAGTCTCTTAGTGACGTCAGAACCAGCGGGAAGGAAGTCCCGGGGGAACGGGCGAGGGCTAGCGGGGTCTGTCCCGGAGAGCAACAGGCGGGAGAGCGCACCCCGCTCTCGGTCACCGGCCGTCCCGGGTGCAGGGCGCGGAGCTGCCGCGGGGAGGCGCGGTGGGCGGTGGCTGCCCCTGCCCTGTCTGCCCGCCCCGTCCGACCCGTCCCGGCTCGTCCCGTCTGGTCGCGGCCGCAGCCCGGCGGAGCAGCGCGCAGCAGGTAAGGAGGCCCGCTCCGCTCCGCGTCCCCCGCCGTTCCCGAGTCCCGCCTGAAGCCTCTGGCGGTCCCCCGGCGGTCCCCCTCGTTCTCTCGACTCCCTCCGCTCGCTTCGCCCCCCTACCCCCCTGACCCTGCGCCCTCCGGTGCCGCAGCCGGCGAGGGGCTGTCCCAGCGCTCTCCCGAGCGTCCAGGAGGCCGACGGGGACTGGGCGAGGGTGGGCGGCCGGTCGCGCTGCGACCCCTCGCTCCCCCGTCACCGGAGTGGGTGGAGGCACGTCGGGTTGGGGTCCGGAGGAGGGGGGACGGAGGGCGGTCCCGCCAGCAGCGACACAGGGGGACAGGATTCCTACGAGCGGGGTCCCTCCTTGGCGCTGGGGTTGTTTTCCGGACCCCACGCGATGGCGTGGCGGGGAATCGGGGCGTGGTGCGGGGTGGTTCGTGGGAGGGCGGCGACGCTTGTGCTGTGAAGGGTGTTCTCACGGACCCCGTGGGGTGTCTCGGGAGGGGTGGGCACGGGTTTGTGTCCCGCAAGGTGTGGGGGTGACACCATGGAGGTGCGTGGGGACCAGGACTGGGTAGCGTGGGGATGCTGGGGCTGGGGGGCAGGAGGACACCTCTGTCCTATGTCTGTGCCCCGGGAGAGAGCTTGCAGAGGGGCAGGGATGTGGGAGTGGTGATGCTGAACCCCAGCAAACTTGTGTCGTGTGTGAGCGGTGTTGGGCCGCGGAGACACCCGGCCTGGGTGGGCCGTACTGACCCGCTCGCGTCAGCTGAGCAGGGCTGGCCTGGGCTGGGCTGGGCCAGGACAAGCTGTGCTGTGTTGGTTGTGCTTTACTGAGCCGAACTGTACTGCAGGAGGCAGCTGTGTCCTGTTGTACTGTACCAGGCTGTGCCATGCCACGCCAGGCTGTGCCATTCTGTGCTGTGCCATACTGGGGCGTGTTGTACTAACCCGTGGTGTAGTGGTGGGAGCTTCCAGGTTCTTCAAGAGTGAGGTGCTTTCTCAAGGCAGCCTGAGTGTGGGGAGCTCTGTTCCCCACCCCAAACCGTGATCCCTTCCTAAGGTGGTTATGTTGCCCCTGGGAACCTGTGGAGCTGGTGACAGGGGCCTGAGCCTGGCAGGAATGCCAGGGTGGATGTGGGGACACAACCCTGTGCTATCTATGGGATTGTGAAAGGGATGATGGTTGCTTGTGCCTCATGTGCCTGCCAGATATGCCTTATTTGTGCTGAGTCATGGTGCCAGTGCAGAGTAGCACCCTGTCCCCAGGGACCGTGTCATGCTGGGGCCACTGAGCCGGCCCTGAGTTGCCATCTACCATCTAATTGGTGATCTGGGTTTCGAGACCGTGCAGTTTCCATGGACCTAGGAGGGTTCAGCTGCCTGCTTCCCTGGGTGCGGCAGCTGCTGGGACCCGTCAGGCTGGTTCCTTCCCTGTGCCCAAAGCTACCCCAATGGGGAAGGAACAGGAGGGGCTGGAGCAGTTGCAAGGTGCTGGTCATGGGCAGAGGGTAGGACCCCGCTGATGATCTTTTGCTGACCAGATACACCCCGCTTTCCCCAGACACCTCCATTCCCTCCTGGGGACTCTGGTCCCCCTCTAACTTGAGTGTCATCGCAGAGGCTTTCCTAAGGTCAAGGTCCTATTTTGGGGCCCTTCCCTGGCCCCTCAGATGAGTTGGTACCAGGGGGTTACTGTGTGCTTTCTGGGAAACCAGTGTGGAGAAAGTGAACTTCCTATTTCTGTGATCACTGCCATGCTGGTTATTTATTTTTGGTGCTGTCATCATCGTGATGATGAAGGGCAGCGTGACTGTGGCAGTTCTGCCGTGGCTGGCACAGTTGGATGGCAGGAGGGACAGACATGGAACTGCTCCCCCCAGCCTGGCATGGCTGGCATGGGTGTGCCCTCGGCATCACTGCCTGGCTGTGGGAAGCACTGGTGTCACACAGGAGGAAGTGCCCAATCCCCTCCCAACCCGGTTCTGGTTAGTATCAGATCCTGGTTCCTTCCCTGGGATGGTCCCAAAATCACGTCACTGCTGCAGGCAGGAGGGTTGTGGGGTGTCCTGGCACCTTCCTGGGGTCTGGAGTGCCAGTAATGAGGGGGTGGGAGGTAGGTAGAAGTCTGGCACTGTCTACTGGAAGTGCTGTTGTTTTCCTGGCCTTGGAGATCCTGCTTTCCTTCTCCTCCTCCTGCTGGGACCAAGCCCAGCTGGCTCTGAGCCCAGGCTGCCTGCTCACAGCTGCCAGGGGCTCTGTGAGGGGGCCTGCTGTGGCCGAGGAGAGGAGCTCAGCCCAGGGGGGTCCCAACTCCCCTCGCCGAGGAAGAGTCCATCTCCTGTAGAGGTGATGTGGGTGCCATTCCTCTTATAACTCCCTGAGGGGACTCAGGAGTTCTGGAGCCCCTCTGAGGCGCATGCAGCTGTTGGGTGGGGCACACACCCGAAATGGGGGGGGCAGTGGGATCTGCGTCACTGTGATGAGGATCAGACTTTGTTACCAGCCCAGGCAGTCGGCAGGGTGATGGCATTTGTCCTCAGTGTGGTGCTACCAGGAGCCACAGACCAGCCAGGGGTGCTGTTCCTTCCTGCCTGGCAATGTCTGGGTGAGCTTCAAAGACCAGAGAGGTCAGATCCCTTCTGAAAAGGTCACGTCCTCTATGCAGCCTGAGTCAGCGCGTGGCTGTGCCTTGCCCACGGCTGCCCACTGACGCAGGTGCTGGGGACTCAGGGCACAGGAATGCGGGTGGCCCCAGCCAAGGGACAGTGGGGACATCCCTCGTCTGTTATTGACCTGCTGGCATTGAGGCCAACTTGCCCTTACTAATTAGGAGCCACTATTAAAGTGGGAGGGGGAGGTTTTGTGGCTACATGACCCCCTCTGTCCCCACACCTGTGGCATCACTCACCAAGAACAGGTCCTGCCTGGGGAGGGGGACCTGTGCTGAAGCCCTGTGTCTTCTGTCCCCTCCAGGTGCCTGTGGGAGACGTGGGGAACCGCCATGTCGCAGCCCACCGCACCCCCGCTCTACGATGACAAGAACCCCCTCTACCCCCCGCCCCCTGGGAGGTACCCTCAGCCCCCCCATTATGCCGGGGGGTACCCGCAGCCTGGGGGATACCCTGCGGGGCCGGGGTACACGCAGCCAGGGGGGTACCCAGCAGCAGGGGGGTACCCTCATTCGGGCATGGCCATGCCCACCATGCCTGTGCGGTTTGGTAAGTGGGGCACCTTGGTTATTTGGGGGAGGGCGCTAGAAACAGGGGTGCTCTGAGGGGCTGCATGGCTGGACCTTGGTGCTGAGGGGAGTCCACCATCACAGGTGACAACGGCCTTGGGGATGGCTCTCCTTTTCAATCAGTTGACTGGGAAGATAAGAAAGTCCGGCATGCCTTCATCCGCAAGGTGAGTCCCAAGGGGCCAGGGGCACCTGTCAGGGTGGGGGGCCAAGTGCTGACCCCACTGTCTCTTGCAGGTCTATGCCATCATCTCCCTGCAGCTCCTGGTGACAGTGGGAATCATCTCTGTGTTCACCTTTGTGTGAGTAGAGGGTTCCTCCTTACCTTTGTCCTAAAAAGGAGGGGAGCATGAGTTCTTTGAGGGGGTGTTCAGAGGGGACAGTAGGTGCTGTCTCCTCTCCCTCACGCTTGTCCCTTCTGTCCCACAGCGAACCTGTCTACTCCTTTGTCAGGAAGAATGCTGCCATCTACTATGCCTCATAGTGAGTAGGGGCTCTGCTGGCTCGCGCCCCCCAGCTCGTGCCCTCACATCCACAGTCTCCCAGCCCAGGGGCTGATCCTGGTGAGGGATTGTGGGGCTGACACCTGCTGTCTCTCCTTGCAGTGCTGTGTTCCTGGTGACCTACCTGGTGCTGGCCTGCTGCCAGGGTCCCCGGTGAGTCTCTAGGACCCTCAGGGTGGGGTGTGTGGGTATGGCGGGTGTCTCAAGGGCATTAACACAGGTTCCTGCCTTGGGCTGCCCCTGGGTGATGGGGACCACGAGGACATGACATGCTGTCACTAGCTGACCTCTCTCATGTTTCATTCTCAGGAGACGCTTCCCCTGGAATATTATCCTGCTGAGTATCTTTGTGAGTAGGCTGGGACTTGCATGGGGTTCTGGTGGTGCCCCCATCTCCCCAGGTGGGTTGTGGGGGATAGGAGGACATGTGGGCAATCCACTTAGCTCATCCTTGTCTCCCACAGACGCTGGCCATGGGGCTGATGACAGGCACGATTGCCAGGTATGCCCTGGGGACCCTGCGGTTATAGGATCTGGGGATCCCTCCTGTCCTCCACAATGCAGCCGGCTCAACTGGGAGGCTGCCAGGAACCAGGGGATGCTCCAGTCTCTGGGGCTCAAGGACCTTGGAGTTCCTGTCCTGAGTCAGGGCTGGGGGAGAGGGTCTCCAACACCCCTCTGGCAGGAGGATCCTGAAGTGTGAGGTGACTTTCTTTGTCTGTAGCACGTACAATACGAAAGCTGTCCTGATTGCCATGCTCATCACTGCCATTGTGGCCATTGCTGTGACCATCTTCTGCTTCCAGACCAAGGCAAGGAGAGGGATGGACCCTGCTGTGCCCTCTGTGGGGAGCTGGTCAGTGGGGACACCCCGGGCTCGCCTGTGACATATGTGTGTGTCCCTATCAGGTTGATTTTACATCGTGTCCAGGGCTATTCTGCGTGCTAGCCATCGTGCTCATGGTGATCAGCATCGTCACTGCCATCGTTCTCTCCTTCAAATATGTGAGTGGGGAGGACGAAGGGGCTGTGAGGTGCCGTGGGTATTTCTGGTTGGGTATCCCCAGGGTTGGTGGGGGCAAGGGGTTTGGGTGGTCCCTTTGCTGGGAAGCAGGGCGTGGTACCAGCTCTGGAAGGCAGCTTACCTGCAGGGAGAGAGTGCGTCAGCATCGGCAGCAGCTGCTCAGGAGTCGGGTGCAGGCGGGACCTGCCCTGCCTCACCTGCTGCCTGCCAGCACCTCAGCTCACCCTGCTCGTGTTCCCTTCCCGCACAGGTCCCCTGGCTCCACATGCTGTATGCAGCCATTGGGGCCATTGTATTCACACTGGTGAGTTGACAGCTGGAGCGGGCAGAGGGTGTTGGGCAGGGACTGGGGAGGGAGGAATTCCCCCTTAGTCCTTGCCTGACGCTCTCTGTCCCTGCAGTTCCTTGCCTATGACACCCAACTTGTGCTGGGGAACAGGAAGAACACGCTGAGCCCCGAGGAGTATGTCTATGGTGCCCTCACCATCTACACTGACATCATCTACATCTTCACCTTCCTCTTGCAGATAGTGGGCCGGGATTAGCCCTGGGACCCCTTCTGTCCCTCTCCAGCTGCCCCTCACCCCTCCTCTGGTCTCTGTACAGGATAGTCCGCTTACTGTGACTCTTAATGCTTTGGCATTCCTACCTGTAGGCTGCTAAGGAAAGGGCTTCCCTTGATCATCCTCCAATAAGCCTCTGAGGGCAGTGGGGGGGACTGGATGCCAGCGTTTAGGCAGTTCAGCCTGGCTTAGGCACTGCTTACCAAGGCTGTGCCAATGGCATTGGGCTGGCAGCGGAATGTCACAGCCCTGCCTGGGCTCAGGGAGCTGGCAGTGGCTGCTGGGGTCGTGTTGTGACTTTTTGGCAGAGAACTTTTGATGTCATTCACTCTGTGCCTTAAGTGGGGCTCTAGCCATGCCCTCTCCCCGAGCTGTGGCTGTGCCCAGTGGGGGCGGGGGGCAGCTGGGACCTTCGTGGCAGAGCTCACATTGCAGAGGCCCTGCAGCCACGGATGTGGGCAAAGTTGCACTTGCTAAATAAAACACTTCAGTTTTCCAGACGGTCCTTGTCTTACTGGTATGGCCACTCCCTCAAAAAACCTGTGGGCAGCCTCAGTGGGGGCTGTGGGCTGGTGCAGCACAAACACTGCTTTGAGATGGGAAAACCAAGGTCAAACTGCTCCAGGCCTGGCCTCCCTTTCTTGCCTGTATCCCCTGCTGTTGTGGGCAGAAGTCTGGCTGCAGAACAGCTGGGGCCCCCACTGCTGAAGCAGGCAGAGCCTGGGGCTGAACACTGAGGGAGCAACCACACTGGAACTGAGCTGTTTCACTTTATTTGTCCCTATTCAACTCCACAACCACTTCATGGTTTGGACAGGCAGGGCAGATGCCACTGTTATGGGTTCCATGGGGCTGGTGTATCCTTGGCCAGTTGCTCCAAGGTGCTGCAGTGACAGCCTGGGGATGGGGGGCAGCTTGGCTATGCCCCCCTGACCACCCTGCTGTATCGCTCCGTCTCATACTCGCCCTGGTTGGCTTCCATCATTGTTCGGCGGATTTTGAGCTGCTCAAGGCGGTTTTTGTCCACTTGCCGTTTTGCTAGGAGGAAGAGGATGATGCCAGAAGGCAATCCAATGGCCCTGCAGGACAGCCAGCAGTGAAGGAGATGGAGAATGGAGAGACTGGGCAGGGAAACAAAGGTGCTGGGGCTGCATGGATACTGCCCTGCTCAGCGCTACAGACCCACAAGACCCCTGTTCCACCCCGGGCCCCACAGAGCAGTGCAGCCTCCCAGTGCCGACCCTCTTCCACACCCTGAGCCACTCACCAGGCCACCCCCACTGGCTTCATCGGGTTCTTGCCCTTCTTGCGTGTGGGGATGTACTCCACTCCCTCGGGGAGCCCCCGGCTGCCAGGTTCCTGACCGGCCCGTTGTCCTGCTGGCCGGTGGCAGCTCTGCCCAAAGAGCCGAGTGCCCCGGGGGCCCGGCCACCCCCAGGCTTTGGCAGGACACGCTGAAGGTCTTGCTGACACCAGCAGTCCTGCGGGGAGAGAAGCTTTAGGGAGGGGCAGCCACGAAGTAGAGCGTGGGGGGCCCAGCCCGGGCTGCCTCAAGCTCCTGTCCCTGCCCTTACCCCCGCCCTTTTCCCTACCCTATTCCCTGGCCATCCCCATCCCCCTGCCATTGCCCCTGTCCTTCCGCCAGGGGGCGATCGAAGGCGGGGCCTGGGCCGGGGGCGTGACCAACACAGCTGGGGCGTGGCCCTAAGCCCTCTCCTCAGCGGGGCGACGCGGGGATGCGTCTCGGGCCCGTTTGCCGAATTCCGCGACGCCGTGCCTTGAGGGTGGTGGCGGAACGGTTCCGGTTCCCCCCCCGCCCCGGGGTTGCCCCCTGTTCCTGCCCACCCGCCCTCCGTTACCTCGCAATCCGACTCGCGCCGCCGCCATGGTGCCGGTGTGCGGCGGCTCCGCTGCATGCCGGGAGCTGTAGTCTCACCACACGGGAACTGTCAGCCGCGACGCCGCACGGTCTGTGCGCAGAAAACTACATCTCCCAGAGTGCGCCGCGCAGGGCGGGGCAGGCCCGTCCTACTGGCGGAAAGGGCGGGATCCTAGCGCGGACTCGGGCCGTGGTTGGCTGGGACGGGCGAGGATTGACCGGGGCGGGGCGCGTGGCGGAAGCGGCGGAAGCGGCGGCGGCGGCGGGGTGGGTCGGCATGGAGCCCGGGGAGGGCCCGGGGGCGCTGGATCTGCACGGCGACGAGGAGATCATCGAGGTGGTGGAGCTGGGCCCGCCCGGACCGGGTGAGACGGGGCGCCCTGCGCCACGCACCGGGCAGGGCCTGCGGGGGCTCCGGCCTCCCGCCGGGGCACCGGGAGCGCTGCGGCCCCACCCCAGTGCCAGGCCCAGCCGGTGCATCCCTCCTCTCCCCGCGTTGTGCCCTGTTCCTCTGCGGTCTCCCTACTCTGGGTCTCGTGGCCGCGGCGGCATGGCGCATCCCCCTGCTGCCCCGTCCCGCAGGGACCCCCGCTGTCCCGCCGAGCTGGGCAGGCCGCGAACCGCGCCCTGACCTTCGCCCTCTGCAGATGACCTGGCCGAGGAGATGGAAGACGTGGACTTTGAGGACGAGGGGGCAGAAGAGCCCGATGCCGAGGCTTGGGAGTCGGAGGATGACGAGGGGGTGGAGGACGGCATGGAGGCACAGGATGACAGTGAGGTCACTTTCTCGCTTCACTCGGGTGAGTGCTGGGCACGGGCAGAATCACCTGGGACTCCATTCGGGATCTCCTCCCGTCTTGGCTTTCCCCAGAGTCCAGGGGTGCAGAGAGCCTTGCTAGGCTGCTGTCCCCAGCCTTCTTGGGACAGCCATCAGGACTCAGCTGCCCTAGGCTTGTTTCTGCCTTATGCTCTGCCAGAGGAGCCCTTTGGGCCTCCCATCATGGCAGCTTGCCCCAAACTCATAGAAAGCCTCTGCTGTTCCTCTCCCACGTGAATTGATTCCCACTGGATGGGGTTGGGAGTTCATCTTGCTGACATCCCACATCAGCACGGGGTTTGGATCCTCTGGGAATGTCAGGTGAGGCGGGATTGGCACCATAGCCATGTAGCCTCTCTTTATTCTTTTGTGAAGCTTCTGTCTTCTGTGTGAGCCTTGACCCTAAGACCAACACGCTAGCAGTGACAGGTGGAGAGGATGACAAGGCCTTCGTGTGGCGTGTGAGTGACGGAGAACTCCTGTTTGAGTGCTCAGGTGAGGTGCAGCGAACAGCTGTGTCCCAGTGTCTATCTGGACACATTTTTCTCTAGCTGATGCTGTGCTCCTGACCATCTTCCATAGCTTGGCCTGAGCAGTCTCTGTCCCCTGATGTTTGCAGGACACAAGGACTCGGTCACCTGTGCTGGCTTCAGTCACGACTCCGTGTTTGTGGCCACAGGTGACATGTCAGGGCTTATCAAAGTGTGGCGGGTGGATGCCAAGGAGGAAGTGTGGTCCTTCGAGGTGGGGGACTTGGAGGTGAGTGGTACTGGGGGGAGCTCCCCAGCCAGCAAGTGGGGTGGCAGCACTTCTGTAACGTTGCTTGTCTCTCTCTGCCCAGTGGATGGAGTGGCACCCTCAAGCCCATGTACTTCTGGCTGGTACAGCTGATGGCAACACCTGGATGTGGAAGATCCCCAGTGGGGACTGCAAAACCTTTCAGGGTCCAGCATGCCCAGCCACATGTGGCAGGATCCTGCCTGATGGTGAGGCATGGGGCCTCTCTGGAATGGGAAATGTCACCAGCTCTGTGTGGGCATCTGCCCTCCTGCTTCTCACAGTCTGTGCTGCATGAGAGGTAGGGGGATGAGGGGGGCCCTGTCTCTATCTGCTGTCTCTGCCTCACCCAGGGAAGCGAGCAGTGGTGGGGTATGAGGACGGGACCATGCGCATCTGGGACCTAAAGCAGGGAATATCACTGCATGTCCTGAAAGGTAAGGAAAAGGTTTATCACCTGGGCTACTCCCTAGTTGGCAAACAGCCCCTTCTAGTGGGCTCTGACCTCTGCCTGGGTGGAAAGGAGACATTCTCTGAGGGCAGGAGGGAGCCTGGCACTGGGTTTCTCTGTCCCCACTGGTGGTTGTTCCTTGCGGGGGTGCTGGCAGAGCCGGGCAGGGTGGAGGCTGCATGTGGTATGTTTCAAGGCTCACTGGGTCTCTGTGGGGAGGACACACAAAGCTCATCCCTGCTGCTCACCCCCAGGCCAGGATGGCCATCAGGACCCCTTGACGTGTGTGGCCAGCAACAAGGATGGCAGTTTGATCATGACGGGCTCTGTGGACTGTCACGCCAAGCTGGTCAACTCCTCCACGGGCAAGGTGCGTCTGTGTGGGCAGGGCAGAGCCACAAGTGCTGAGGACCCCCAGGCCCCTGTCCTAGGTTGGAGGCAGAGCCAGGAGCACTGGAGACCCCCCCAAGCCCCTGTCCTGGGCTGAGGGCAGAGCCAGGAGCACTGGTGACCCACTGGTGATTTGGTGACCCCTCAAATCCAGGGCCGGTGTGCGGCTATCGGCAGCCGGCAGGCGGCGCCCTCGCGCTGCCGGTGGAGCGCGGGCTGGGTGGTCCCGCCCGGCTCCTGGTAGGAAGTTCCCTCTTGTTTGCTCCCAGGAGCTGAGGATTTGGGGCTGCGCCTTGTTTTAATGGGGGTGCAGACTCGATGTCGAGTACGAGCGGGACCTCTGTGCACGTGGGTCTCCTTCCCTCAGGGAACAGTCACCCTCCCTCTACCCAGGTGGTGTGCGTGTTCAAGATGGAGAGCGTGACCCCCAAGGCACCCATCAGTGAGGGCGAGGAGGCAGAGTCCAACTCAGTGGAGTCGCTGGGCTTCTGTAATGTGTGAGTGATGAGACAGCTCCTCTTCAGTGCTAGATCTTACAGGGCTTGTCATACAGATCCATTTGCATCCTTTGTGCTCAATCTGCTGCATTTCACTTGCCTCCATCCTCCCCAGCTGGGTGTGGAGATCCCAGATCACTTTGGTGTGAGGCCAAGGGACACCAGCTGCTCAGTCCTCTCCCTGCAACTGTTGGGATTCTGGGCTAGCCTGATGGACCACTACTTGGCTGGGATACTCTCCAGACAGCTGTTTTCCTGCCAGGACATGGTCATCTTCTTTGTAAACCATGGGCCGATTGTTGACTTGCTGTACTGTTGAGTTTCCCAAGCAGGGTGTTTAACGGCTCCGGCCATCAGGTTGTCTCTCACCTTCTTAATACATTGCAGCCTTCAGCATAGGGTTTGCCTTTTACCCAGATCCTTTATGTGTTTCCATCTCTGCTTTCCCATGTCCTATGTAATGCCTGTTCCCCTGTCTGTAGGATGCCACTGGCTGCTGTGGGCTACCTTGACGGCACACTGGCTATTTATGACCTCTCCACACAGAGCCTAAGGCATAAGTGCCAACACGAGGTACTGCCCTCCCCCCCTTCCCTAGGCCTGGGAGGTGGGCTTTGGGCCTTTTGGAGATCTCCCTCAGAGCCCAGGGGCCAGTTCCCAATTTTTACTTCTCCTTAGCCTTGGGCTTCCCCAAAGGGCAGCCACAGTCTCTGCACAGCAGATGTGCTCGGCCCTGGGGTCTGGTTCTCCTGTGGGGACAGCAGACACCAGGAGGGGGTGGGGGTACATTGGGGGAGCTAAGACTTGCTGGAGGTCCCCACTGTGGTCTCCCGTGCCCCAGTCAGGGATTGTGCAGCTGCTGTGGGAGGAGAGCTCGGCCGTGGTGTACACCTGCAGCCTGGATGGGGCCGTGCGGCTCTGGGACGCCCGCTCAGGGAAGATGATCAGCGAGTACCGAGGGCACTCTGCTGAAATTCTCGACTTCGCCGTCAACAAGTGAGCAGACAACCCCTAGACCTGTTCCCTGCTGGGTGGAGGGAGCCGTGATGGCAGGGGCCTCCAGCCTAGGAGCTCGAATCACAAGCTGTCTCTGAGTACCCTTGTGGTCTGGTCCCAAGGTGGGGCACAAACGTAGGTCCATGCTGAGACTTGGGGGTCTCAAGGGGTAGTGCAGCACTTCAGAGCTGGGCTGGGGGTGATGGTCAGGGATACTGGAAGCCCCCAGCCCCACCTCTGAGCCCTGTCTCCCTGCAGGGATGCCTCCATTGTGGTGACCACCTCTGGCGACCACCAAGCCAAAGTGTTCTGCGTGCAGCGCCCTGATCGCTAGAACTGTGTCAAGGGATGGTGTCCTGGCGCTGCCGTGCGCCTTGAGGGACGAGGGACAGTTTCACCACCCTTCTCCAGTGCGTGCTTTGTAATTTTTCCAGCCTGCCCTGCTTTGCCCTCACCCTCTAGGGGCCAAGCCAGGGGTTTTGTATGAAGATGTCTTTAATTATATAAATTATTTCACTTAACTGGATGCCATCTACTCTGCTTGTTGGGGGAAAGAGGATCTGGGGAGCTGTGCTCCCTCCTCAGGGATCTCCCTGGCATCCAACCATGGCCTGAGGATCAGTGGCAGAGACTCCCATCTTAGCTCTCCCTGCTAGGGGGAATGAGTGGGTCAGGATAGTAGGGAAGGGTGCAGGTAGGAGAATCCTGCTCTGTACAGTCCAGAAGTTCCCTAACAGAACAGGCTATTTCCAGATCTGGGTTCTGCACCCCTAAGTTCACCAGAAGGCATATGTTCCACAATTATCTCCCTTGGGGCTGTGACTAAACACCCCTTCCAGGGCAAGGTAGGTCACGTGCATTGACAAGCCAAAGTCTCACAGCCCTTTAAGATAGAAAGATCTTCTTTATTAATGAACCCCAACAGTATTTCTTCAGATACAGGAGTTTTGAACTCAAATACTCAGAAGAAAACAAGTTAATATTGCATTATTCTCATAAGAAATACTGCAACTTACTTCCGGTAACATATTGCAAAGCGAAACAGCTTGAAAAGAAAAAAAAATTAAAAAAGAAAAGAAATTAAGTCAAT